CAACTGGACTAGCTCTACCTCATTATGTCTCATTGACGCCACACAGCACTATCTGCTGAGGCATTGGTCTCCCCTGACCATGCCGACCCCATTCTCAGTGGGGAACTTCATCACCAAATGGTACGCAGAGGTTATTACTTTGATGGAATTGAGAGACGGTCTTCCTAATAGGATGTTGTATGCAGAGGGGTCGTCCACGACTAGGATACAGACGGTGGTTGTAACCTAACAAGGTTGGTCTCCTATTATGAGGACGAGCTGTATAGAACCGATTGGCAGGACTCTTTCACCCGAGAAACCAAGGAGGTGGTTCTTTACGGGTTCAAGCTTGGACCTTTCTATGCCAAGCTGATCAAAGGCCGATAAGAAGATGATGTATGCCACTAGCAAATTGGAAGTATCTGCCACTAGTAAATAAACACACAAAAGGTACAACAGGTAAATGCACATGAACAGGTAGAGGACTTTTAAAAAAAAAATCCAAAGAAATATCACCAATCGACCATAAAATAGATACAATATGGGAGACACCAGAGCCAAAGGATTAATGAAGTGATGACATCCTATATGGAAAAACAAAACCTCCACCAATATAAAAAAGGCAAATCGAGTTCTATACCAGAGCCGATGCTAATTGCCAAGGATGAACCCACTCTGTGACTTCAATAGGTGACAAGCTGGCTATTACTACATTCTAGCAGATTGCAGGCATCATTCCTCAAGTAATTGACATAAGAGTTTATGACTTCTGGAGAACACATCTCTTGTAGAAAGCTACAATATCTTTCTTGTTGGGATTCTTCAATTGGAGCAGCTTAGCACCAAAATTATTTTGTGAGCTCTTGCTTAAGTTTCTGCACTGTGAACTTTGGATAGGGCGTCCATCTCGGATGCACGGTACCTTTCTACTTCAACCACCAAATCATTTTTTCACCTCTCTTGACTTTCAACATGCCTCTCGGGTCTCGGTCTTCTCAATTTGGGCCAATCTTTCCATTGCTATTCTCTAAAACTCACTCTTGTCTTTCTGGGCAGTAATTGGTTCTGCTCGGGCTTTGTCAACCATCTCAGTTACCCAAGCTTTTGACCCATTTAAGTGTTTTTGAAAAAAAATTTCCAACTAAGCGTTGGTTTGAAAATAATTCTCAAACTCAAGGACTTTTAAAAACGTCAGTTGGTCTTACGTTTTTAGGCTTAAAGACATCACTTGGTCTAACATTTTTTTGCCTAAAAACGTCAGACCAACTGATGTTTTAAAATTTTTCCAGTTAAATTCCAGAAACATAATAAACGTCAGTCCAATTGACATTTTACTGACATTTTTAATTAAAACCTGAACCCCCATTTTTCCCCACTCTCTTCTTTCCTTTCTCTTATTTTCTCTTCTTCCCCCTATTTGAGCCCTAATGTTTTCAGGTGGGAGACTCACCATCTGCACCCCCCATAGCAAACATTCAATCAACAGCCACTATCGGTCATCACAGCACAACCATCGCAGAACCACCATCATTGCAGAACCACCATTGCAGAAGCAGTAGAAAACAACAATAAAGAGAACTAAGAAGAAGAGAAGTTGCTGAAGATGAGAGAACATCATATGGGTGTGGAATATTATAAGATATTACAAGTTGACAAGAATGCCAAAGATGAAGATTTGAAGAAAGCTATAGAAAGCTTGCCATGAAGTGGCACCCTGATAAGAATCCTAATAACAAGAAAGAAGCCGAGGCCTAATTCAAACAGATCTCTGAAGCCTATGAGGTATCCATCTCTATTTTCTTTTGTGTGTGTGTGTAATTGTGTGTGAATGAATATTTGCAGTATTTGAAGGGTACTGAGCATTGCGGAAAATTCAATGATTATGTGATAGATATGATCTTGTAACGATTTTTAGGAACACATCACAATCCCTTGTTTGATTCATTATCTGTGTGTGTGTGTGTGTGTGAATATTTGCAATATCTGCAATATCTGAAGGGTACTGAGCATTAATTGCAGAAAATTCTATGTTTATGTGATATATTTGATCTATATTTAGGAACTTACTGTGTTGAATTTCTTAGTTCCATCTGGGTCTCCTAGATTGTAACTTTTTTCCATGCTCACTCAGAGTAATCTAATCTGGATTTAATAAGTTTCTCTGAACATATCACAATCTCATCTTTGATTCGTTCTCTCTCTCTATATATATGTGTGTGTGTGTGTGTTGCAGAACAACCAAAATTTGTGTATGTATGAGTGTGTTTATAAGGTTTTAGGATTATGTGTGTAATGGTAGCTGATGTTGATTTTTTTTTTTTTGAAAGTTGATTTATTAGGTTCTAAGTGATCCACAAAAGAGAGCAATCTATGATCAGTATGGTGAAGAAGGGCTAAAAGGGAAAGTGCCACCACCAGATGGAGGACTTGGTGGGACAACATTTTTCTCAACAGGGGGATGAACCAAATGTGTTTACATTTAGTCCTAGAAATGCCAATGACATTGTTGTTGAATTTTTTGGGTCTTCGAGCCCATTTGGAGGAATGGAAGGGAGTAGTGGCATGAGGGGAAATTCAAGGTTTTCTGGTGGAATGTTTGGGGATGATATGTTCAATTCATTTGGGGATGGCAGACCAATGAGTTCAAGTCCCCGAAAGGCGCCTCCGATTAAGAATACATTGCAAGGCAATTAACTTTTAGAATTTTACCAGTTCATTGTCTTGGTTGCTGGGGCATTTGCTGAGCCACTATTCTAAAAATGCTTTGTTCAATCCTCTATAAACTTCCAAGTATGGTTCTGAAATATTATTATCTCGGCCAGCCAACTACCGTTATCTATTTTTTTTTCCCTTTCTTATAATGTTGTTAAATTTATAGCTATCTATGTCTAATTGTCTATTGTAAATTGGGTGTTACTTAGATGAGAAATTTGTACAAGGCACGAGTTGTTATAGTGATCATACCCGAGCTGGGGGTTTTGTTGCTCTTGTTAAACAAGAAGACCTTGCCAATAGAGGAGATTATAGCCATAGAAATCAAGCCTGGTTGGAAAAAGGGAACAAAATTCATATTCCCTGAGAAAGGGAATGAATAACCAAACGTTATTCCTGCAGATCTTGTATTCATAATCGACGAAAAACCTCATAGCACATTCACGAGAGATGACAATGATCTGGTTGTCACGCAGAAAATATCTCTCTCTGAAGCGTTAACAAGATACACAGTCCATCTCACAACACTTGTCTGTAATTGCAAAAAATAGGTTTGGAGAGATGATCTCAATACATTATTCTAGTTGCAAATTAGCAATTGTCTGTACTCTGAATCACAAGAAATATAATTGAAAAAATAATTATACAATTATTGAGAAATATTTAATCTACCATTTGCCTTTGGAGGAAAAATATTGAAATCTACATGAAAGATTCCTCCCATGTTGATGCCTTCTCTTTGTCTCATGCTGCTTTCATTTGCTAAAAACACCCGAAAAAAGGTTCATGTTAGATAAATTAGTGCAGTCTCAAAGGTTGATCTGTTTATAATGTTGCTTATATACTAGGTAATGCAGTATAAGGATGGTGCATACCACTATAAATTAAATGAGGAGCTTAAAGAATGGCCGCCTTTGTAACACTGCTTTTATTTTTGAAATGATTTAAATTAAATAGATCCATGATTAGATGCTATATTTCTAAATTGGACTCACTCGTTTCTCTTCTTCCATCTTGGCCTTGATAAATGAGTAGATAGCCACTCCAGCAATTGCAATGCATGTTCCGATGCCAGTTTGAGTAGAAATCTTGTTACATGCAAAATTATTTTGTTAGATTTTTGTTATTCGGTATGATGAACTTGGTAAAAGATATCTATAGGACATCATCAAGCAGAGGCAAAGATGTATATTTACCAAAGACTATGATTGAGAAGCCAATCACAAACACCCGTTTCAACACATTTTCAACTGCATGTGTAAAAGAGTAATTAAATTATAACTTTTGCAATTTTAAGGAATTACTAGTACCAGAACAAGCCAACCCTACTATCACCCACAATACAAATATATATGTGAGATGAGTTTTTAATAATCTACTCAATAACATAATCAATTATTAACTCAACTCAGTTGCTCAACTCAATAATCAATAATCTACTCAATACCGAAATCAATAACACAATCAATAACCAACTCAACTCAATAATCAATAATTAACTCAATTCAATAATCAATAATCTACTCAATACCCAACTCAATAACTCAATCAATAATCAACTCAACTCAATAATCAATAATCTACTCAATACCCAACTCAATAATACAATCAATAATCAACTCAATTCAATAATCAATAATCAATAATCTACTCAATAACTCAATCAATAATCAACTCAATTCAATAATAAATATTTTCATAGAATTTCAATATTTCAACCATTTCATATAATTTCAATATTTTTCTTTCAATAAACAAAGAGTTCTCACCATATGTGGTGGATGCGCTGTCGATGGTGCAATGGAGGAACAGTAGTGCAGATTGGGGGATTTTGGTGCTGGGGTTGGGCTTGGGACAGGTGGTGGTGATAGTGGTGTTGGGGTTGGACATTTCAGGTAGTGCTAGGTGGTGATAGGGCAGGCTTCGATAGTGGTGGTGGTGCTTGGATTTGGGGCTTTGATGGTTGGGTGGTGCTAGGTGGTGTTGGGTAGTGCTGGATGGTCCTGGGTGTTGGTGGGTGGTGCTACGATGGGGGTTCTGCAATGGTGGTGGTGCGATGACCAATAGTGGCTGCTGATTGAATGTCTTCTATGGGGGGTGCAAATGGTGAGTCTCTTGCATGAAAACATTAGGGCTCAAATGGGGGTAAAAAGAGAAAATAAGAGTGATGAAAGAAGAGAAGAGGGAAAAATAGGGGTTCAGGCTTTAATTAAAAATGTTAGTACAACTGACGTTTTTAATTCAAAAATAATGTTTTTAAGGTAACATTTTTAAAAGTTTCTTGGTTAGAAAATTATTTTCAAACCAACCCTTAGTTGGAAATTTTTTTTCAAAAACACTTGGAATGGGTCAAAAGCTCCAGTTGCTCTCTTTGATTCTCTTTCGGCAATTTTACACCTTTCTTGGACTTCTCCAAACCTATCGAACTTAGATTGGTACTTCTGTTCCAGAAGATTTTTTTCCTGTTCCAGAATCCTAGCTTCTCTTTCAAATGATTGTGCGGTGGTGCTTGCACTCTCTAACCTCTCACCCAACTTAATCTCACGCTTTAAGGTTGATATCTCCATATCATAGTTCTTTATCTTTGACTCGGCAACCTGCAAAAAGTACAAAACATAGTAAAGCACCCACAATACATATATCAAGGGTACAGTCTAATATGCACATCTTGCAACTTAAATTTATATCTTTTTAAGCACTTGCATCAATTCACAGGACTTACCAAAAAAATAACTGTTAATAGGTATAATAACTTATGGTTTAATAAAAGCCCTTAATAGAGCATAAGGGGAAAATAGAATTTATGTAGTCGACCCCAAAAATATTGGACCAAGACTTTTTTGAGTTGAGTTGAGTATTTATGGGAGTAATAATAAAAGTTCTTTGAAAAATTTAATTTGAAAATTTGAGTTAGATTCAATCTACCATTCAACATTACAGTTGCCTATAACCACAAAATAACTGCCCCACCACATTTATGTTTATCCATTAGTTAGGAATGCTGCTAGGTTTTATGACTACAAAATCACATCCATTAGTTTGTAAAGCTATCTATAAATTGCAGCATAAGAGAATTAGGAGAGTGGTCATCGTAAAAGTAGCCCTACTCTCCATCTCTTTGTGTGTAGTAGGGTGCAAAGTCCATTCCTAAATTACAAGGCGAAATCCACACAAAGCTCACCTTCAACTCCAAATTTAGAGTAGTCAGATGCTGCTCAGTCTGTTCAATCTTTGCTACCTTATCCTTCATTTCCTCTTCCTACAATTCCATAAACAAACAAAATGAATCTCCAAAACCATTCAAGCATCCTCTAGTACTACTACGATGATAAGTACATTGAACAACTAAGCTAATACGTACACACACACACACACACACATATATATATAGAGAGAGAGAGAGAGATTTCACCTTATCAGCCAAAGTATTAGCAAATTCTGCTCTCAAAGTATCTTCTCTCAGTTATGTTTGCTTAACTACAGTCTTGAACAACTGTTGCCTTCTCAAGGGCATTTTTGGCCTTCCCTAACAGCAATGTGATACTTCTGTTTCCACTCCTCTGCCTCCTCTTGAGCAAACTGAGCTTGTTCCCGAGCAGCAACCAACCTTGCTTCAGCAGCACTGCTCCTAAACTTAAGAATTGCTATTTCTATACTGGCCTGGTCTTCCTCAACCTTCTGCTTCGATGAAACTTGTTCATATTTTCTTTTCCATTCCATGGAGTCCTACCGGGCAGAATCCAATGTTTTTGACAAGCTAGAACATCGCTCTTCCAGTGAGCTACCTTTACTCTGTAAATTCATTATGTGGCTCATATAATCATCTACAAGCTTCTTCTTGTCATTAATAGTATCTTCATAACGCTTCAATATTCATACTTATACTTTCACTAGCTTCTAGTTACTTGTAAAGCAATGCCATCTTATCTTCAATTGAGCGACATTTCAACATGAGTAAACTTTTCTCAGTTCCAGCTTGATCTATTTGCTTCTTGATTAGGTCAAAGATTGGACCTTTCCAACTGAGTTGTTCAAAATTTTAGATGAAAACTAAAACCAAAACCTGATCAACTGAAAAATGAAGATACAAACCTCTATTGCAAGAACACAGCTAGTTTTTGCCATTTGTCCGGACCATGGGATGATACTTCATACTTGGATAGAAGATTATCAAGAACCTGCATGGACGTATTTCGGACCATATCATACTTAATCGATGACCATAATCACCACACACCCAAAACAAATCCACATATTGATTAGTTCTACAGAACCCATTGAAAGGTTCCACATAACTGTCCAGCTAGAACTCATTCAAAAAATAGGATGACCACCGTAGTGAAGCAATGAACTGATGGATTAGCAGAAGATATGTTCATAACAAAGCCCTTTGCATATAAAAACTTAATGGTGATGACTCCCCTAAACCTTATGATTCCATCATCTAACATAAAGGGCAATGAAAGACAAGAAATGCAGTTGCTGCTCAAAGGAAGCAAATACCATTTAGTAAAAAAACTAAGGCAAAAAAACAGTAAAACAACATAACCAACAAATTTTAATATTGCAAATTTGCAGCAAAACTTAAAACAATGTCATGATAATTAGCCTCTATGTATAGTTTTACATATTCCCGCTGAAAAATCTAAAGAATTGACATGCAGTATACAGCTACAAAACCATCAATAGATAAATTACATGAAACCTCAGGACATATTCCAACCAATAAAAGTCCATGGCAGTCTAAAAAAATAGAAAAAAAACTACCTGCCGGACAAGAGTCCTAAAAGGTTAAGCTAAATATCAACATAGACTGGAATCAAGGTATAGTTTTACATGCTATGTCAAGTTGTACGCTCTAATGCCAACAAAAAAGCCTCCAATTTGATGCCTGAAGTCATTCAAACAGTGAAGCAGATTTGACCAAATCCTCAATCTGGGGCTAGAGGTGCTAAAACGATGAGGTTCCAACAAGAACAATGCACAAAAGGTTAGCTCGATTCATTTTTTGTCAAGTATAACTGTCATTTTCATTGTGAGGAGTATAATCGGCTTTTTGAATAATTTTGTTTGTCTTGATTTCAGTCAACACTTGATGAAACTTGTTTATGGAGTTTGTCTTCCAATCATCACTATAAGATTTCAAATTTGATGCTTCCATATAGACCCTCAAATAAGTATGATGCTAGAAAACATATTGAGGACATCTAGGTGAAATAAAAAACAATAATCACCATGCAGGCATACCTTAAGGACATTGTCTATTTTAGCATGAGGAGTGTGACTTACAGTTCTCAGTTTGTTTTCCATGCTTTGTATGGCATTTGAACATTGTAGGTAAGCCTCCCTGAACGCAGCCCTTTTATAATCCTACAAGAATATCCAACAAAATCAATGTTGGAAGTCAAGCATGAATATTACTCCATAGACTTAAGCATGAATATTACTCCATAGACTGAGCCTAATATTAATTTTTGCCAAAAATAACCACATACTGTATGCTCTTTCACAAGGACACGGAAGATTAGTAATTTCAAGTCATGGAGCACAGAAAAATAAAAATAAAAAACAAAACCTATCCCGCACGCTCTACTATACCGCAAATTTTCAATTCCACTTAAAAGGACAACAAAATATACTCATTCCATTTTACGCCATAGTACTATCATGGTTTTGACTGGACTCCATCAACTTTCAAAAACAAATTAGTGGTTAGAGCCTGGAAATTGATGGACAAATACTTCTATTCGGAAAGTCAATGGACACTCTTTGTATTAGCAAGAACATTAATGTATGGATAACCTTAACCACATGATCTAAACAAAGACAACTGTTTAACTTGCATAATGGAACTGGTCAAGTGTGTCTCACCTGACGCTTGCTCATAGGGCATCCTCAAGAGTAAATCAACTTAACACCCACCCAAGCTGCAAACCTATCTACCCTCACTACCCTACCACAATCCACACCCCCACCCACCAGTTGCTGCAACTTCACCTTGGCAATGGTAGATGGCATGGTGGTTCAGGGTGTGGGTGGGTTAGCAAAACAAAAATAGAACAGGGTGTCATTGTAACTCTATGTTAACCTATAAGGCTAATTTGCAAAAATTAACAAAATGAGGACCACAATGAGACGGATCCATTACTAAACTTTCCCTATAAGAATGAAGTGCATATCAAAATTCACAATTTGATATGATTCACAATGCACTATTCCGCAAATTGATTCACAATATGATCCACAATTTGACAACCAATCAATTCAAGACCACACAACAAACTCAAGGAAATAATCTTCAACGAGATGGAGTAGTTTGATTATCACATTAAAAAAGTGAAGATGGGAAAACAAAGAATGACTTACCACTTTGCAATATCACCAAAAAGAATGAAACATATGCATAAATCTACTATTATTCATTCTTCTTCATAAAACTGCAAATGGAGAATAGGAAATGAAAATAATAAGATCACCTCAAATGCTTTTCATGTTTCTGCCTGGTTGAACCAACCCCTACAGCTATAGCATTAAATGCAGTCACTGACTTTTGAACTGCTTCTTCATTTGGTTCTCTCAATGCAGCCTACAACCCCTTGGAAGTCAGAAAATAGTAGAATTAAAAATCTTGGAACTGGGAAGAAATAAAACTTACTTCCTTTGGAGGCTTAGAACGATGAAAAGAAGACATATACACTTCGACAGTCAAATCATATGCTCTCTGACACTCGGCATCTTCAACACTCTGCAGAGCAACAATGGTTTTAAAAATCCAAAAAAAAAATTTTGAGAAAAAAAAAAAAAAAAAACTTTGCATACGCAATATAAACTGCATAAACACCTCATTCATTTCTTTCTTCCATTGCCAAACTCTAAGTTGACAAAAAGGCTTAATGAAGATGAGACAACTTCAAAGGGCTATGAACAAAATATATCTTCGCTATCTCAAAAAAAAAAAAAAAAACTCCTCCGAATGTTTCATGAACAACAGGTTTCTATTTGTAGACATTCTGACACATACATATCAGATGGTATGTATCTGTGACATCTGATAAAATTGATCAACAAAGATAAAGAGAAGAGAGAAGGGAAAGTCTCTCATACACGTTAAACCTAAAAATATACAAAGTAAGTCTTACATAGTAGAGTAACACAACATAAAAAATGACTAAACTACCCTTAGTATTAATCCTCTAACACCCTGTCTCAAACTCATGATGTGGCAAAAAACATCACGAGTTTACCAAGAAAAAATCGAAAATGTGCTATGGTATGAGACTTCGTAAAAATATCCGCTATCTGCATGGTAGAAGGAAGAAAGGGGAGAGTGATGGTGCCCTATTAAAGATGATAACGCACAAAATGACAGTCAATCTCAATGTGCTTTGTGCTCTCATGGAAGACCAAGTTGTGAACAATTTGAATAGCACTTGTATTGTCACAAAACATAGGAGTGAGAGAAGATATCGAAATGTCAAGATCACCAAGGAGAGAGAAACAATAGTTTATTTCTTACTTTTCCAATAAATAAGAGAATCCCCAAGAAAAAGGCAAAAACCAGTGGTGGACTTACGATCTATAGAACCTGATGAAGTAGACCATAAAAAGAAGGCAGAATCATGGTCACTAGTGCGAAAACCCAAGACTTAGATAACCGAAGAAAATTTGGCAAACTATGCCCTGAGAGCCTGTTTAAGGCCATATAAGGCACGGTGAAGTTGACATACTTGGTCAGAACTATAAGACAATCTAGGTGGAGATGTCATAAAAACCTCTTCACTTAAATCTCCATGAAAAAATGTGTTTTTCACATTCATCTGAGACAAACTCCATTGTCGAATGGCAGCAACTGCAATCACGCTGCGAACAATAGTCATTTTTGCAACAGGGACAAAAGTCTCATCATAGTCTAAACCATACTCGCAAAATCCTTGCCTACTAATCGAGCTTTATACCATTCCATAGAACCATCAAACTTGATTTTTATCTTATAAACCCACTTACAACCAATGGTATGTTTACTATGTGGTAAAGACACTAGTTTCCAAGCTTTGGTCTTTTGTAAGGCAACAACTCCCCATCCATAGCATGTTTGCAACGTGGATCAAGTAAAGCCTCCTTGTAGTAGGTGGGTTCAGATAGAGAGTGAATAGAAGAAAAGAACAAAAGTCAGGAGAATAACAAGTATTACTCCAACCAAACTTGTCTGGACATTTGTGAGAGAGCCGAGGATAGTGTGAGGTATGATCCACAATGTCTGAACCTAATTGAGCGGCAGGAGGAGAAAAGGGAGGCACTATATCTATAGAGGAGATAACTGGAGTCCTACGAACATATGTATGCATAATAGGGGAACAAGGAATAGTCAACTCAGAAGGGGAAGAATCTGACACAGGTAAATCACAACACATATGTGTCATGAGGAACATCAGCAGGAAAGGGGTCAATGTATAGTAGAACAGACTTATTCAGTGAGGAAGAACAAGATGGGATTGAAAATAATGGAATATGCTCCATAAAGACAACATGACAAGAGACATAAAGTTTACGGGTAATTGAATCATAGCAATGATATCCTTTTTGACCCTCACCATAACCAAGAAAGACACATAAAACTAAATGAGCAGAAAGTTTGGTACGAAGAATACTAGGGAGCAAAATAAAGCACGTACAACCAAACACACGTAAAGAAAAATAGTTAGGTGGCGTACCACACAATTTTTCAAATGAGGAGACTCTAGAGGTGAGATAGTAGGAATGTTGTTAATCAAATGAACTATTGTAAGAACCACTTCCCCCAAAATGAGCTAGGAATATATAATGATAATAGAAGGGAACGTGTTGTCTCTAGAATATAATGGTGTTTACATTCGGCAACACCATTCTGCTCAGGTGTATCAGTGCAAGAGGATTGATAAAGTATACCATCAAATTTCAACAAATTATGAAAAGAAGTAAGAGTGTATTCACCTCCCTAATCACATCGAAAACAGTTAATGACTGCAAAATATTGACTGCGGACCATGTTACGAAAGGTAGTGAAGATTGAAAAGAATTGATGTTTCATCAAGAATACTCAACAGTACCTCGTGTAATTATCAATAAATATAACATAATATTTGGACCCTCCTTGTGTAGGAATATGAACCAATCCTCATATATTAAAATGAACAAGATCAAATAGTACAAGGGAACAAGTGACACTTTTATTGAACAACATTGCACTAAATTTAGCCAACTTGCATGCACTACAATAAAAAATGTCATGACTTCCTAAACTACCCAAACTACCAGTCAAAGTTAAAAATTTTAAACAAGAATGAGAAACATAACTAAGGCATAAATTCCATAAATAAAAACTAGATGACTTTGGACTCAAACAAAAAGATAAATCAATAGTAGAAGCAACAACATTTGGGACATGAAGCTCCTCTAACATATATAGCCCTCCCTTTCTATGGTCTGTTCCAGTTAGCTTCTTGGACCGTGGATCCTGCACAATTGCAACCAGAGGAAGAGAAATAAAGGAAAAATCTTGAGTCAAATAGTTGACTGACTAAAAATAAATTTAAAGTAAGTTGAGGAATATAACAAACATATGAAAGTATAAGATTGGAATAAATAATTGTACCAATACCAGCTAATGACATTTGAGAACTATTGGCAACAAATACAGATAAAGATGGAGGAGAAACAATAGATGCAAATAAAGAAGAGTGACTGATCATATGATGTGTGGCATTTGAGTCAAAGACCCAGGCAGTTCGAGATATACTTGAAGGACTTGAGCTGGATGAACCAATAGTGGGGGAAACTGTGAGAGCACCAGACTGATGAAGAGAAAGAAATTTCTGCAGTTGATCTATAAGCATAGTTAGGAGTTGATGAGGCTAACTCATTCACTAGCGATGCAACAACCACTGTATGACAATCTCTAAACTTAAATGAATGAGTTTGAGACCCTTGTGTATTCTTTTGTTCATCAACTTTGGATATTGAGCCTTCCAATCACCCTTTTCATGACAGAAGCTACATTCATCAGAAGCAGCTCGACCTCGATACTTGTTTTGGGAATTATAGGTCACTTTGGAAAAGCAACCAATACAGTCTAATTTGGCAATGGAAGAAGACCCTTTCCAGAAAGGGTTTTAAGGCGAACCTTTTTTGTTAAGAGCTCATTAACAACTGCATCCACTGAGGGGGAATGGGTGACGAGGAAGAATGGAACCACGAATTCTCTTGAAGTTATATCTAAGAATTGCACCAGCCTCTACTCCTCTTTGAAAGTGCGATATGTCATATTAGTGCTCAACTCAGCGGGTTGAGTAAGTGCTAGCTGATCCCAAAATCCAATCTCAACTGAGTATAATTCTTGTATATTTTTGTCCCCTTAATGCGTATCTTGAATTTCATGCTTTAGCTGATACCTCTTTGCAAAATTAGATTGGACAAAAAGTGTGGCCAAATAATCCCAAATTTCCTTAGTTGTGCTAAACTTGGATATATGAACCCTAGTGGTCTGATCAACTGAGCTATTAATCCAGGTGATGATTTTTGCATTGTTGATCTCTCAAGTACTCTTCAAATCAGCATACTTTTCTGCCTTAGTATTAGTTAGAGCCTGTGCTGGGGCACAAATATAATTCCACATGTCTTTCCCTAATAAATTTTTTTTCATAACATAAGCCCAGTAAACATAATTTCGACTAGTTAGTCTCACACACTTGAAGTGAATCAGAGTTTCCACTTGCCATTGAGTAATAAAGGATTAGTAGTAACAATTATCAATAGACACCATTACTGAAGCAATCAAAGCCCAGCAGCCACCAAATAATAGCAATAACACCAAATAATAATAAATAGCAACAACCCAACGAAATAACACTACTGCTATAACAATAGCAATTACACCACTGCCAAAGAAACCCCCACAAATCAACTGAAGTTCAAAGCAATCCACAGAACAAGAAGACAACCCACAATAGCAGACGCCAGCATCAGAAACTAGTGGCGATAGT